GGGGGAAATCAGGATATGGAAGCATGAATGGAATACTGATGGATAGAGCAGTATGCTCAGAGCATGGGCTTCCTCACAGCGATGTAATAACAGCCCAAGGTGCTCTGTGTGTCTCTCCATACAGGGATTCCTTCTCCAAAGCCCAGGGAGTGCCCACCCTTCCTCCAGACATGCAGCTCCAGCAGGCAGCACCCCTCCAGCAACATGAATTATATGCTTATAAGCACTTTATGCCCTCGGGCTGCATTCAGCAAGGCCTTTCAGTCCCTTCCTTCAGGCTGCTCTTTACTACAGGTACCATTTCCTTCACCCTCCCCTACCCCTCACATCCCTGGCTGCCTGACCCAGCGGGGCTTTTCTCACTTTCCCGTGCTGCAGAAGGGATCTGGGAGAGCAGGACCAGCTGCCTGATGCAGGCAGGTGCCACATGCCCCCTTATTTCATAAGCACAGAGGGTGCAGAGCCACTCCAGGCAGTGACAGCACTCTAGTTATTCCCAGTTTTGAGAATGACTTTAAGCTTAGTTGCATTTAGTTTCCAAAAGCAACGGATATCAAAGGTGGGGGGAGGAGAACACATTAATTTCACTAGGGTGGCACCACCTTGGGAGTCAAAGACATCTTTGCATCGCTTCTAAAGTGTCACCCTGACTGCAGCACCCACCGAAGCACCACCAATGCAAAGGAAAGAGGATGCACAAGAGCCAAATCCACGTCCAAAACGCAGCCACGAGGACCCGACCCCCCAGCACACCCCCCGTGGGCTCCGGATCAGCGTACCGGGGCCATGCAATGGCACATGTGGGGACGCAGCACCCAACCACCCGATTTACCTATGGCCACGGTCAGGGGAGAGCCGGTGCGCGGCGGCGTGGCTGGGACGTTTTTCGGTGGGAGCGGCGGAGGTGCTGCGAAACAGAACAGAGGGAAAAATTCACTGGTGGCGCATTGGGAAACCCGCACGGCTTTGCTGGGAAAGGGGGATCAAAGCAGGCAGGAGCACCGGCCTGGGGATGGTGGCTGGGCACGCAGGAGCATCCTCACAGCCCTTTTTTGCTGGATTTTAGGCTTTTTGTGGTGTGGGTGGGTGGTTTTGTTGGTTTTGTTTGTTTGTTTTCCCCATTTTTTAAATTGTAGATGGTACTTAGATGTTGTAAAAACTTGAATTACCATTTTAATTAAAACCTGTATCCTCTCAGGCACGTATCTGCCTCCACCTTTCTCAGGTGCCCATCCCGCACTGACCCACGGAAGAGGAACTACATGGCTAATTAACCCCACACCGCTTCACAGGGACATTTTTACCAAGAAGATGTAAACAGCATCCAAGCCTGAACCTCGCGGGAGGCACCGGGGCTGCTCAGCACCAAAGAGCCATTTCTGTCACGAGTGCGACAGTCCCCTTGTGAGCTCGTGGTGTGGCCAGAGGTTGCCTTGACCTTGGTACATCAGCACCAGGGCGGGGGGTGGGTTTGACATGGAATGGGCCATGGTAATGGCTAGTGAGAGGGGAACAAGGGAAGAATGACTTTGAGGGGAAGAGGGAAAGCTACAGTCCTCCCGGCTACCCCAGGCAATAGGGAAAGCTGTAACAAGACCCAGAAATTCAGGGCTGCGTAGCCCGTCCTTGTATTAGAAAGTGGTGTTTCCAACCTTTCCAGCCAAATTAACGTGAACAATCAGGTACCCCTCAGCCCGAGGGTAGGGCAGAGGTAATGGCTCCGTGTAGGCCATTTTTCCCAGCTAGAGATGTTTCACCTTGCAAATCCAGCGTTTACGGTGGGATATTTCCCCAGGGAGGGGAGATGCACCGTCTCTCCCATCCTGGGCACCATCCATCCCATCCCTTACCAACCCCTGTCCTTCCTCCACCCTAGTGCACTGCAGAGTCATGTCTGGGGAAGAAAAACCCTCTAAACTGCTGGATATATCCATTTATTTTTGGTTTATAACCTGCACAGTCACTTACTTCCAGTTGGAAAAGGTCTTGGTAGCTTTGGGGACTCGACGCTTGCATTGAGCGGCTGGACCGAGCCCCATATCTCTGGCTGGTCTAGAGCAGCTGAAAAAAAAATTTAAAAAAAATTCAAAAATAAACATACATGCAAAGGCAACGATAAAACTGACTATCTTTTTCACAAATACCAAAACACAGATGAGACGTCTCTGTCTGAGTCTTGTAAAGAAGGGAGAGCTAAACAGTGACAGAAACCTCTCATTAATTAAAAGACAGGGGGGTGTCTGTAATGTTAGATAATTACAAGCTTGCCTGATTTTTTAAGCAGGACGTGCAATTAGTTTGACACTCATGCAGCTTGACAAACAGAACAATGCCATTTACGTATTTGGAGGCTTATTGCATTAAGTGAAACATTGCATTAATTGCAAAAAATCATCTGGAATTTTAGGATACGCAGGAAAACCCACAGGTATTAACGTGAAGAGATCCAGTTATGAGGTCATAGAGGGGAAAAAAACCCACCACTTCTATATATCCTTTAAACTTTTTTCACTATTTTTCTTAGCTTGTGTGTTGAGAGCTGCACGCAAACATAGTTTTGATTAAAATAATTACCCAGAGTTGTTAATTACGAGGCATAACTAGGCTATGGGTGCCAGCGGCCCTGTCGTGATAGCCGAGCAGAGACGGGGGGAGGAGAACAAACCGCTCCCACGGGTGAATGGGGTTTTTCTTTGGGCAGAACAAGCCCTGCAAGATCGCTGCGCTGCCAGAAAGCCCTTAAAAAAAAGGCTTAGTGAGGGGGAGGAAAAAGCATCCAAACATCCTTATCCAGGGGAACGCCATTTCTAGGGAAAAAATGACATTATTGCGATGACATCTCCGCGGCACGGGGAGCTGTAAGGCCAGACAGCTACGCCCACATCTTGCTTCGTTAAATTAGCCCGATGCCGAAATTCTGCCGCGGTGTCAGAGCGAGCGGCCACCGCTGTTAAACACAGCCCGCTTCAGGGTTCATTGGCAGAACCCGGTGAACAGGCATGGCCGGGCTTTCATTTGAAAAATGGGTGTTTTTAATACTCAGTAGCTGCCTTCTTTCAAGATCTGTCTCAAGACATCATTAATTAACTGACTTAGTCACTCTGCGTAACCATATAAACCCCAACCCCTTGCTGCCCGTAACACAGCCATCCGCCCTTCGCACGCTGCTTTAACTTGCGTTTCTCCCCTCCAGCCCTGACCCACCGTCCAGCTTCTGCTCCTCGAACGCCGACTCCAGTGGGGGCCCGAAGAGCGGGGCCAGCGCGGCAGGGTCCTCCCCGACTCTCTTGCTGCGGGACGAGACAAGCGCAGGGGAACCCCGTGAGGTTCACGCTAGGACTCAAGCCAGGCGTTGGAGAACCAACGTGTGTATTTTCAGGGAGCGTTTATGGTTCTAGACTAACCAACACCTTGCCAAACACAGGGTTTCAGGCAGAGAAAAAGGGGAAGGAGAGCGGTAGCACCAGCCGTAGCGCTACGGTGCAAACCTTGTAGTGCCCAACTACAGCTCACGTACTGGGGACTGCTCCAGGATTAGGCAGAGCTACTCTGAACTGCATGGAAAAGGGAAAAAAAAGGAAAAAAGGAAAAAAGGAAAAAAAAAGGAAAAAAAAAGTCGACTGCCCAGGGCACATCCTAGTGAGATTTGGCCTCACCCCACACCAGCTAATCCTGTTGCTTCCCTAAATCAACATGTACCCACCACACGCGCTTGCCAGCTCTCGCTATCGACCAGGCTCAAGGTGGTTCCCAGCAGCGGGTGCTCACTGCTCTCGGAGAGAGCGAGTAGGGATGCCGTGCCTCCGAAAGCAGCGATGCCATCGCCAGCAGCATGTTGATTCACATGGATTTGGATGGCCACGCTCTAGGGGGATCCACCACTGCTGCCAGGCACCCCTGTCATTTCTCCCTCACACAGCATCTGGGCCAAGAGACCCTGGACCCACAGCTCCCTGTGCCTCTTGCATCCCATGGCACTCTGGCACAGGCTGCCTGGAGAATCTGTGGATGCCCCATCCCTGGAAGTGTCCAAGGCCAGGCTGGATGAGGCTTGGAGCAACCTGGTCTATGGAAGGTGTCCCTGCCCGTGGCAGGGGGTGGGACTGGGTGGGCTTTAAGGTCCCTTGCAACCCAAACCATTCCATGATTCTATGATTTACCTATCTTATTTAAACACCAAATACAAACGTTTGGCTTTCATGAGCCTAAAAAGTTATAAGAGTGCAGTTTGATGAGCCAGACTAGGGCAGCTCATCTGGCCGGTGCTTGGACCTATCCAGGTATACACAAAAAAGGATCAAAATCTGGAAGCGAACACAGGTGCTTCCCACTGAGCAACGGTGCAAATGTGCAGCTGCCCACTGAAATGTTTAAAATCCACATTGGAATGTTGTGCCTGAATGTAGCTGTGTTGGATAATGGTCCAGAGAGGCTCCATACTGACCTGGCAGGGTCCGGTGTTGGTGTGGCACGACGGGGCCGTGCGATCTCCTCACCTGCAGCAGAAGAGGGACAGTGTGCTGTTAAAGCCACCCACCCTGAGCATCCCCAAGGCCCACCCAGCCCCCCATGTAGGCAGGGAGGCTCACACCAGGGATGCCACCAGCACAGCACGTGTCCCCTCCCACACCTGCTAAGGAGATGCTGGCAAAAAAAGGTCTGTTTTATTAATTCACATGTTATTTCTATAGAAATAAAACTAGAACTAGGTCTGCTTTATTAATTCAGATTTTATTTCTGTAGAAATAAAACTAGTGCAACTAGAGTAGGGAGCTGCACTGTTTCTATAGGGCACCCCAAGGGTGTCTCATATAGTCTTCTTTAAGGAAGGCATTTGGGTGCCATAATGTCTGCCAGGACCGCTTCAAAGCCAACGTAATCCCCTCCCTTCCCCCCTCCCTAAAATACCACCACCACACTGCCAGCACATACTTACTGGATAAATTCCTTTTAATCGTCCCCTGGAATTAGAAACACACGAGGTAAGCGGGATGCACAGGGACACGGATGCATGGGAACGGCCACCCAAGGAGGGGCACGGCAGCAGTGGAGCAGCGCAGCAGATGTGGCAGGAATTGCCCATCCAGGGTGATATTTACTATATGTGCCTGAAGTGTGCCCAGCTGCGCGTTCTAAAACCCCATTTGCTCCCAGCCTACAGGCAGGAGAAAAACCCTACCAGGAGGGTTTTGAGCCATGTAAAGCCATTGCCCGGCAGTGCTGTCTGTGCAGCCATCCTGACTGCGAGCGGCTTGTGGGCATCCCTGGCACCCTCACCCCATTCCAAGTGGCATAAACTCCAAATCCTCACGTTTGATGGGCTGCAAATTGATCTGAGCCAAAAAAACCCTTATTTTCAGCAATCTAAACCCTCGCTCTGGCCACACAATCATGTGCAGCAAAAGCCAAAACCCACCCAAGACCATGGGAGCCCCTCCAGAGTGGAACAAGCAGCGGGGGTACCCCAGGACTGTGAGAGCTGCTGCTCTGCCTGCTCTGAGCGCAGGTTCTCCAAGGGGTTTGCAAGGATGCAGGTGGAATTGTGAAGGATGCCCATCACTGCGGACACCTTTGCATTGGTGGGGGGGGAAAAGGTCCTACCATCACATAGGGGTCACCCAACGGGGCAGCTAGTGGCACCCCAGTGCTCACCACATAACCCCTGCACAGCCTCAGATCCCCCCAGCACCCCCATTCCCAGAGCAGGGGGGGAAGAAGCAGCAAGCACGGGTGCTTACCGGGCTGCGCCGCTGCGGTCAGCGAGAAGGAAGAGAGAAGAGAACCTGGTCAGAGAGCGACAGGTCAGCACCCCAACACCCATCACACCCCTCCACCGTGGCTTCAGGGGCCACAGCCGGCTGGGGTCCCCCTGCAGCCTCAGCCCCAGCCACCAGGACCACAGCGCCGGTGGGTCACCCCAGAGAGACATTCCAAACCCCTTGGAATAGGCGAGTTTCCCCCATTCTGGGCTCAGAACAGTCCAAAGCCCAGTCCTCATGGGGAAGCTATGGCCACTCCATACAGTGGCACCAGAGGCCATCCACCACTGATGGGATTTTCTGCTTTCTCACACCTTTGGAAGTGCATTGTACGTAAAAAATGTGCGTGGATAGAACTGCGCCCTTATACATCTTGTCCAAAAACACCAGCCTTTTCCCCCAACTATATCCCCAGACTATGTACATTCAAAACAAAGACAGCCTAGCACTATTTTAAAATGCTCTAATTCAAGGAGAAGGAAAAATAACAACCAGCATGCCTTCCAAAATGCGAGGTTTTGTTATTTGCATTTTAAATTTCAGCTCTAGAGACATGCAAAACAGGGACTGTGCAAACAAGAGAACAACACTGTGCTTAAAAAAAAAAAAAAAGAGAAAGAGAAAACTGTATTTCTTACCGGACTTTTCCTCTAAAAGAATGCAGAAAAATATAAAAAAAGAAAACAAGAATGTAAGATATTTTCTACAAAGGATAACACAGGCACAAGAGATTTGTATTACGACCCGAAGCATCAGGTGTATAACTGTTAAACAGATGGCAAAGTGGAGCTGTGCGTGCATCCAGCCAGGCTGTCAGCAGAAGACTGGAATGAGAGCACACATGGGAATAATAACCCGGGTGGGATTACACGTGCTTTGTGGTTAGTGGGCCCTGCAAGCTACAGAAAACGGCCATTCCCAGCCTGCTTCATCTCCTTGAAGGGTCCATATGAGCGGAAAGCCAAAAACGCGGCTTTACCCTTAAGCACTTAAATTTAAGGCTATTCCTGATCAGCTTTGCCCAGGGGCTATTTTTTCAGACTGCTACAAAGCGCCTGCTCCCGGGGCTGAGTTTTCCATGGTGCCAAGAGCAAAGTGGGTGGGAAGGAGCAGGGAAGAGGGTGGGCAGTCTGAAGATGCCGGGCAGGGGATGTGGCACGGGCAGGTTGTACCCTTGTTCAGACTTGGAGAAACAAGACCTGAGCTGTCAGGCTTCAGGTGGAGGATGCAGCTGACACCAGTTTACAACAGCATCTCCCATTTTCTTACCATCTTCAGGTTACGGCACCATAACTTGCACCCCAAAGGGATGGGGAGGACAGTGCCTATGGACACAGCATCTCCCATCCCGCTCTCTCTTCCAGAAGAGGCTGGGGCACAGGAGGGATGAGGGCCAGTGCACGCCTTTGCAGCTGGTTTTGGAGGGGGGACAAACCCAGGAGAAGGGCAGGGACACGGACAGTGAAATATGAACTCCTATGAATCCAAAACTCCTTCAGACAGCTCCTGTTCCAGGCGCTGGTGCCTTCCCATCTGTGGCACTGCCCACCTGCACCCTTTGCTCCGTATGCCAGACTTTGGATGCTGAGGGGTGAAGCAGCACAGTTCCTTCTGTCCAGCCTGGCACAGGGCTCTCCCCTGAGCCCTTGGGGTTCAGTGGATCGTTTGACCCAGGGACATCGCTCCAGCCCCAGGCTGTGCCATCAGTGGCCAGGGCCAGGGATTTCCCCAAAGCAAGGCACAGGACATCCCAACCCAACACCCAAGGAGGAGGACCATGCCGGCACACACAGGGCCTAAATCCTTCCTATCTGACTGCAAACCTCTCCCTGAGCTCAGCCCAAAAGACACCACCGGGAAGAGGAGAGACAGAATACTACCTCACAAAACACACACCCCCTTTTCCAGGGAAATAATACCCTGCTAAACGTGTGGAAGTGCTGACCACATCCGCCCAATCCACATATACCCGTGCGAAACTACTGGAGTATTGCATCAGTAAGAACAAAAATAACCAAGGAACTTCAGACTGCCAGGAGCTGAGTGTAACCATTCAATAACTTCTTAATAAATCTTTATTTATTGCTAGAGACAACATCGCTTTCTATTTTTTGGTTAGATTCTCCAAAAGCCACAGGCTGCAGTACCGAATCAATGGGCAGCTACTCCCCACCTCTGCCGCAGCCATGCCAGAGCCGCCAGCTACACCCTGGGATGGGGGATGCTGCTGTGCCCGGAGCAGCACAGCCCCAGGCATGGGTCTGCTGGAATAAAAGCCACGAGGGAAGGAGAGTACTCCAAATATAGACTTGGCCCCTTAAATTCTTAGGGCTTTCCCTATCCCATTTTTAAGGTGCTGCACTATTCCCTTTCTCCTCCCAAATAACATCTCCTACATGACCTACACGTGTGTGCACCAAACTGCCGAGGCCATCGCTTTGCCAAACCAACATCAACTTGGTTTCACAATAAGAAATTCTGGGGTTTTCCCCCTCTCTTGATCTAAATTATCCACCTATTTGGCAAACAACTGCCAGTCTTCAAAACTCTGTCCCTGTCCACACCCCATCCCACCCCCCTTTTTTTTTTCCCCTGAATTTTGGTGGCAGGTTTTTTGTTTGTTTGCTTGTTTTTTTGGCAATTTCCAAGGCGGCTGACTACCCTTTCTAACCCTTGAATACTAACAGCCAGAAACTCCCCGGTCACAGCACAAAAAGCATCCAGAAGCGCATGTGGCTAAAAGGGACCGAGCATTGGTAGGAAGCAGAGCCGTGCCAGAGGGATTCAGTGTTTCCAAGGACAGCAACTTGTCGCAGAACCTTCCATTAAAATTGACAATGTTGTGTTGGCTTTGAAAGAAGAAGTAAGACGAAGACATTTTACTTCTTTGCTTAGAGCCTGAGATTCATTCACGCTTCAGATACTAATTATAAACTCTAGAAAGCTTCATCTGAGGAGACACTATAGCCCACACTAAAGCCCACTGAAAGACAAAAATCTGATCTTGTCATGGCTGAACAGATTTGGGATGAGACGACAAATCTTGACAAGCCTTAGGAAAACCAGAGGGTGATGGTATTTATACTGGGAGGGACTAAGGAGAGACAACCTTTCTCTCCAGGATCCCCTGGGTAAGACTTGTCCCTCTAACATCCCGCAGCAGCAGTGTGGAAAAGCCCACAGATGCTGTCCTTGTCCCCAGGACCCATCTGATTCATGTCCTGAATGATGACCACATTGACAAGTAAGGAAAAAGGGGAAAGACAAGGGAGTATAGTATTTTCATCCCAGTTATCCTGTTTTATGAGCAGGAAGGAGAATATTTTTAAGATATTTTGGACTGGAAACATCACTGCAATACACCTGAGCTCTACCTGCACTCATGTTATTGCCCCTATACAGATGAGACCCTGTAGGGGCATGAGGCCTTGCATGGGCAACTTCCCCACCTAAGTAAGAGATGCTCTCCCGGGACAAGCCCTGCGGAGCATGGCTCTTGGAACAGGAAGAAGAGTCAGAATCACGGAGGACTCACCACGGGGGATGGAGAAAGTGCGATGTTGCCTACGGACGCCTTCAGCTCGTCCACCGTCGCCGCGCTCTTCAGGATGTCTTTCGCCTGCAAGGGCTTGATCTTAATGTTGAACTTCTTGTGCGCCTCCTCTTCCTCTTCGGATTCACTCGAGGAGTAGAAGTGCTTTCCTTTGGTAGGTAGAGCACAGTTAAAGAAGGTTTCCTTCTGCTGCAAGGACAGAGCCTTGGCATTCAAAGGCTCAAGTCTCCGTGGACAGTGGGAATTAGGCGTTCCCAAAATGCTTATCCCCAACACCCAAGGGCAGGAGTACTGTGCAGGGGTAAATCCTCCACTGTGCCTGTCACTGTAACTTCCTCTGGACCTCGATAAAGCCAGCCCATGTTTAGCCTGGCAGTAATTTGCTTCAGTGCCCGAGTTCCCTCCTCATCGGATCCATCCTGGCCCATTGCTCATGGAGAGCCAGCACTTCACAGTGACAACAGAGGAAGGAATTAGGCTTTTCCACTGACCCTCCTCTGGTTAGGAGACTGAAAACCCACTGCCAGCCTAGGAACAGAGGGTCTGGCCACCAACGTCCTCTCCACCCTTAACAGGGCACGCTACAGGAGCTGCAAATACATCTGTGCTCACTCTGCTTTCCCTGCTGTGCAGACCATTTCCACCCCAAACCAGCATCAGTTGTGAGGAAACACTGCAGGGCCAGCACCTGCCTGCAGCCCCACAGCTGCACCTACCACAGATGGGGGGTGGGCAGCAGGGTGGCCATGGGGCACCCCACTGGGATGCTCCCAATACTGCTCACATTTCATAGCGGTGCATCAAAGGCAATTAAAATCACTTTCCGCTCTGCTGCCCCAGGTAATTCCCTCTGGGAGATGATTTTAGCTGTGGAGTGACAGCGCAAAGGGAAAATAAATAATAATAATAAGTAAATAAATAAAAATAGCCAGTAACCTGTCTGTGAACCCCAGCTCACCTTACAGTTTGTAAGCTGAGAGGCAAAGCCAACAATAAAGGATATAGCCTGGTTCCTCAGGTCGAATGCTGTATCCCTCTTCATCCAGCTCAGGTGAATTCTGAATAGAGCACAAACACCCCCAAAATCATTAGGAATGATAATGCTGTTCCTGGAAAATGAGCAGCTCTTTCCTCAGTTTTATACAACCTAATTGACATGCTGGCACGCAATATGTATCTGAACACAACTAACACCTGGATATCACCCAAAACAGCCACCCAGAAAGCCAAAAGGCAGCGTATGAGCCCAGCCCGGGTGCCCTCTCGGAAGCTGCGTGGGTGCTGGGTAGAGAGAAGGCTCCATGGCACACTTACGTATCTGTCCCAGTCGATCTCCGCATAAAATCCATTCGGGGCTCCATTCGTTTTCTTCTACAACACATTGGAAAAGAAAACATCCATGTTTTAAGTTAGGGAAATGAGAACACAGTGTATCTTACAGGTGTGCATCAGCAGGGCTGGGATGCCCCCGGCTATTGCTGCAGCTGCCGGCGCAACGGCGAGCTGCTCTGCATGGGCACATCAGACATGCACAGCAGCAGTTCCCATGTCTGGAAGGTCTTCCACACCAGAGCACTTCTTAAGGAAGCGTTTCTTAAGGAAGAAAAGTAAAGCCTATGAAGAAAGGCTGGGAGAGTTGAGGGTGTTCAGCCTGGAGAAGAGAAGGCTCCGGGGAGACCTTATTGCACCTTCCAGTGCCTGGGGGGGCTACAAGGAAGCTGGGGGGGACTTTTTACAAGGGTCTGTAGTGACAGAACAAGGGGTAACGGGGTTAAATTGAAAGTGGGGAGGTTTAGATTAGATATCAGGAAGGAATTCTTCCCGCAGAGGGTGGGGAGGTACGGGGACAGGTTGCCCAGAGAAGCTGTGGATGCCCCATCCCTGGAAGTGTCTAAGGCCAGGCTGGATGAGGCTTGGAGCAACCTGGTCTAGTGGAAGGTGTCCCTGCCCATGGCAGGGCGTGGGACTGGGTGGGCTTTAAACCCAGGTGTCTTCCAACCCAAACCACTCTGTGATTCTATGAAATGCAATGTCCATTTCTCTGTGTGCTGGGATGTTCCAGCCCACAGGAAGAACTGGCATCAGCAGACCCATGCACATCAGGCACAGATAGCACTGCTATTTATGGGGAGTTAAACTCCTTCCCCAAACCACTGTGAAAGGAGGGTTCTGTCTGTTGTTCAGTAGCCAAACCACTCGCAGAGCGAGCCAGGCGTCATTGCCTCACCGGGCGCTGAAGCTGAGCTGCAGCGGTGAGAGCCGGCCAGGCCAACCCAGCTGGGATGCAGTGTTACGGCACATCACGGCACACCAAACATACACGCACACGGGTTATTGCTGCTTTGGAGTGAGGGGAATCAGGCTTGGAAGGGGGCTGTGGGTATCCATCACCTGCAGAACCCTTTACGGGTCTGGTCTGGGTATCCAGAATTTCCCGCTGGGCACTGAGCAGTGCTGCAAGGCCAGCTCAGGACTGAAGTTAGGCTGAGTTCTCAGTTTTGGGCACCTAAATCAGACCAACCAGCTTCCTTCAGCTGCCAGAGGCAGCACTCCCAGTCCCAGCACCCTGCCAACTGTCCAACGCATTGTCCTGGGGGGGCAGCAGCAGCACAGGGCTGGAGGAGGCCAGCAGTACCCTCGCCCTCCCCATTTCCCCCAGCCCTCATGATGCTGCCCAAGAATGGAGCAGCCTCTTTAGAGGCACAAGGATGAGAATGCCCAGTGCAGTTATCCAGGACCACTGCTTTTCCCCCAGCCCATTTGTGTTTGGCCCCATTTCTATTCAACTTGTACACCCACCTGGCTGAACCTCAATGGTGTTTTCCTACATTCTGGATTTGAAAACAGAAGTTACTCGCTGGTTTTAACCACCCTTTCATAGCTGTAAACCAAGCTCTGCGTCTCCTTACCGAATATTTTTTTCCTCCTTCCCGCGCACTCTCGGGTTTGCTATTGCAAGGTGGCTCATTGGGATGAGGGCTGGGCAGCTGGAAGGGATCGGGGGATTGGCAGAAAAAGGGTTAAAGTGTTGGGTGGTTGGTTTTGTTTAAAACACACAAAAATAAGTTACAGGGAATTAGCAAACACACTGCACAGGTTTAAAAAAAAAAAAAAAAAAAGGGCTCAGCGGTGGCTCCGTTCAGAGTAAGGGTGGGTTTTACTGGGGGCAGGTAATGGGGGTCTATTCAGCAGCCAAAATATTTGTCTCTTGACCACCCCAGTGGCTGAAAACATGGTGAGAGCATGTGGTAGGAGGGAAAGTTATACTAAGTGCCTCCATCATGTTCAGTGGCTTCATTATACCCCCCAAAATTGCATTTCTGCATCCTTCAGCTTGCTGGAGCATCAGAGACCCTGTCCTGCCCTGAGCTTAAACAGCAAGCCACCCAGAAAACTGAAGACTAGGAACCTGACTGAGAGGGCACCCGAATTCAGCCAAGGTCCCTGCACCCAGGGCTGGCAAGAAAAGGCTGCCCACAGCCCTTCTGCCGGTGGAGGGAACGGCTCCGGGCTGCTCCTTGCATTTCATTTATTACTGCTGAATAGAGCCTTAGTTAAAGCGCTACCTGAGCTGCAGACTTTTTAATTGCTAGTTCTTAACAAGTGGCTTATGAACACAAAGCCAAAGATCTTGGGCCAGATGTGAAAAAAATGATCTCTCTAAAGGCGCAATTTCTGACCTCAGTTTGTGCATGGCTTTGTAAAAGACACCCCAGCACTGCTCTCCCTGCTGAGCTGCCTGAGGGTGTCTCACTTATTAGGATGAGCTTTTAAATGTCTGAATTTGCTCAAGAAATAACGACCAGCACAGTCCCAGTCTGAATCCAACACACTTATTTGGAAACTTGGAGTCATATAACCGAAGGAGACGTGGTCTGTCTACTACTCAGATCTAGCAGGGGCATTTCTACCTAACACCATGAACAAAAGCAGCAATAACAAGTCAAAACCAACGACCTCCTTATTTACAGCTTAATATAGAAAATAAGAATAGGTACTGGAAACAGCTGTTCTGGCAATTTTCCCTTATCTCATTGTACAGCAAATCCGGCCCAAGCCAATTAGTGGGAGTAGAGACAAGGATGCAGAGCTGGACACCTGGTCCCCCCACCCATCAGCTCTTCCTGTATTGTTATTTTCCTTAGGTTAATTTTGTAGAAAACCTGGAGTATGTCATTAAACAGATAGCTTCTTACTGAAATTTGTTTTCTATATTAAGCAGAAAGAAAGAGGCGGTTCACAAAACGCCGATGGGGGGTGATGGAGGAATTGGCTTTTAGGGGCTGTGGCAGGAGAGGGAAGCGGGGCAGGGGTCCGGGCAATACTTACGATGCCGTCCCTGTCCGGCGATCCTCTGTGAAGAACAGAAAGAAAAGCAGCCGTGTTAGCTCCCAGACTGCACCGCTGCCTGTTTAACTTGCGGAAATGGTTTTCTCAATGAATCCGCAGCAGCAGCAGGTGGAATTATGACACTGCCAACAAATCTGGATTACTTGCCACGTGCTTGTTGTGAAACCTGCATAAGGGTCTCTGTGACGCTGCTCTCACTTTGTCAGATGTCAACTTTTATATTTATGAGTTAATAAAGTGCTCCTGATGATGCACACGCTCTCCTGGCCAAGGGGCCGGTGAGGCTCCTCCTGGCATCCACGCACCGACCCCGTGACCACGGCCCTACCATGGGTGTGCACCCTCTCCCAGAAGACAATGAAAATTACATGTGGAGTAGTTCAGAGATTTTTCTTCTTCCAGAAGCACAGTCAATTCTCTTTTGAATGGATTTGAAAATCGGTGAGACTCCTCAGGGATCCTAATCCCCAACTGCTTATGGGATTTGGAGCTCGGTCACAGCAAACGGCGTGGCAGGCTCAGCTGCCGTGTTTAAATGCTGCCGAAGGATGCCAAGTTATTTAGTGAAAAGACAAATATGTTTATGAAAACCAGACAGGCTCCTCCACCTCCCACGCTGCTTCCCAGTTTATGCGTTGCCAGGGATTTGCCACCAATTAACGTCTGACTCAGGGCATCACAGAAACCCTGCAGGGAGCTGCTGCTGTCCAGCTCCGGTTTAGCCGAGGATAATGCCTTTGAACTTGGCTAATTCATGTGTCTGCCTCACATCTCTCTTGTATTTAATCTCTTTGCACAAACGTCTCCAACATTCCATGGAAGTAGATATCCTCTCTGCTTCCGTATTTCCCCTGAGGGCAGGGAATGTCACCTCTGCTCATCTCCCTAAAGCCCAGCCAGGGAAGGCTACAGAGACCCCCAGCTGGGGGAGGGAAGGGGCTGCAGGTCCTTCACCACTGTGCTGCAGCTCCAGCATGTCCCACATCCCCCACAGAACTCAGGCAGCAGCTCCGGAGACCCCACACCACCAGGTCCTGGGGATGCAGTGAACCCACCGCCCCTCGTCACTCCTCCCAGCCCCACACCGGCTGCCGACCGGGGGTTTGGAGAGCGCTCAAAGCCATTTGGGGCAACAACCATGATGTGACCCCGTGACACACTAATTGCTGCTGCTTGCCATTTGCAGTGTTTCCCCCACAGTGGCCTTTCTGCGAGCTCGTTACCATCACAAACAGCCCAGGATTCATTATTTCCGTGTATTCCATGTGCCACCAGCTTCCCCAGCCTCTAGGAAGCGCAAGCTGCTGCAAGCAAGCATGGAAATCACGGTGCTGGAAAAGGCAGGACCTAGACCTGGCTCCATTGATTTTTCCATGAGCAGAGGATGAGGATGCAAAGCAGCCTGGTCCCTGCTCATCCTTCTAATCAATTATAAATGAAGCTGTACACAGCTGGAGCAGGAACTCCTGGCTCTCCTACAGCCTGGCTGGAGGACGGACAGCCACCGTTCCCAGTGGGAAGCTCCACAACGGCTCAGTACTGCACAGCCCTCTTTTGGGATGTGCTTCTTGTCCTCCCATAATTTGAGCTCCCTCTAGTAGTGGGCAAAGCCCCACAGGTGCCAGTACAACCAGGCTCACCATGGCCCTGGGAGCATGGCCAGAACTACAGAGCTGGTCCCTTTGCAAGGGAAACCACACCAACCACCTCTGTGGTACGGAATAGCTCAAGAAAATGAATTAACAAAATGAAAAGAAAAAACCCATAAGATTTCTGCTGTTCCAGACATTAAGCTCTTGTGGAAAGGCCTGGACAATGCTGCAGGTGTGGGACCAGGGCTCCTTGCTGCCTTTCCCTAGCTCAGACCCCATCACACAGGCTGCACAGGCTCTTTTGCCACCCTGCTTTGGGACATCCCCCCCAAAGCCACATCAGTGGCAGCTGAGAGCCCTCCCCAGGCTGCGCTCAATGGTTCTGCACCCACGCACAGCATCCCACACCAGATGTGGGGGGAACCCCCTCAGATGTTTTCCCAGGGAGCAAAAGCATCTCCCAGCAAAGCTGCAGGAGCACGTGCTCCGTGAGCCCCCTGCACCCTTGCCGTCCCCAACCACCCAGCCCTTCGCTCCACCAGCGGCCTCGCCGCCTGCACAGGCATCTGTGTCAATTGCATTTGCATCTAAAAAGATCTCAGCAGACGGGCAAATCAGTAGTTTGGGCAGAGATTAATCTGCTGGAACTCTCAGAGGAGTAATTTTCTTCTGATCACCGCTAACTGTCACCGTAAATTGCAAACACGTGGCGCACCGGCTTCATCGTCTCTATGGCGCCATCGAGAAAATATCTTGTTTGTTGGCCACCGGGTGTACAAAGGGAAACAGCTTAAACGTATTTGTTATTATAAGATTTGATCCAAGGATGACAAATGCCTGTGATGCACAGACTGCCTTCCTGTCCTGGCACCAACTTCTCCCCAGCATCATTATGTATTAATGTGGTTTCAGTGTCATTCACTTACGTGGAATCAGTATCCTTTTCTTTCTTGCGTATACCAAAGGCCTTCCTGGTACGTTTTTTCAATCCTGCGGAGAAAAGGAATACGAATAAGAACACAATATTAACATTGCGCTTCAAATAGACCCTTCGAGAGGTCCCTTATTCCCTTGTCAGCTGTAATTCATAAATAAGGTTAAAAAAAGCCAGACCCAAAACCAATAAACTGCCAGCAGGACTGTGCAGGTAGTGTGTACATTTGCTTATGCCTTTTATTTGTTCACTTAACACTTATTAACTTGATCTCAGCATGTGTGGCTACGTATTTTGTAGTTAATACTTCTAAGCTTCCCGTCTTAATTACACACTCCTTCGCCATGCTGCATGTGGGTGCTAATGCAATGGGGCGGAAAACACCTCGAGTACAAAAAAAAAACCCAAAACAAACAAACAAACCAACCCCCTCCCCCCCAAACACACAATTTAAACCATGGGGTTGGTGAGCTTCTGCACCGATTCTTGATCTACACAGTGCTTCAAACCGTGCCCGGTACCGATGGTGCTGGAGCCGGCTGGGAAGGGGGATGCCCCTGGAACATTGGCCACTGCCACATCTCTTTCAAAAACGGGTGGAGGACAGTGGGTTTCTGCAAGTTTCTCCCTCTTTTCTAGCCAAAGAGCTATCCAGGAGAAGAGATTTTTAATAACCACTTGCAGCAAGCACACCAAAGATGGTATTTTGGAGGATTTTAAACCTGCGCTCCACTTGTCGGCTGGTTTTTCTGCAGATGACTGTCCAGTCCAACGGGGGGTGGAAGCTGCCAGACACACACTTGTCATTCAATCACTGCTGGCATCACAATAGTCAATTAATTTAGGTCAGGGCATAATTTAGGGATCATGGTGGCCAAAGGAGCCAATGCAAACTATGGACCTTGAGTCTAGAACAGCTATTTCTGGCCTCTTTTCCTTCCAGAGCTCCTAGGAGCTTTGCCTTGCTCTGGAAGTTACCGAAACACAAAGCATGGTGAGTTGGGCACCAGCAAATAGTGCCTCATCAGTAGCCACGGCCCAGGGCCCACCGGCTGGCAGAAGAGACAGGTCTGGCAGCCCCCATCGCCCAGCTCAGCTGGGAGCTCATCGGGCAGCTGTGGGCACCCGCGCCCAGTCCGGCCGTGCAGCAAGGAGACAGCTACCGTGTTAATTTTCAGGAAAGGTAAGCACGCTCATTAGCGGTCCCCTCAGCGTGGCTGCGCAGCCCTGCTGCCACAAGCCTTCCCCTCCCCAGCGCGCTGTGCGACGGCTTCCGAAGGCACAGACAAGGCTCAGCGGCACAAACTGGGATACAGCTCATGCAACGTGTGCTGTGCCAGAAGGACAGAGCTATGCTTGTGCCAAAACCTGCTTTCTTAAAAAAATACTGTTTAGGATCCAACAAAACCCTCAAGCCTTTACCTCATGTGCTGAAAGAGGCAAATCTCCCATAGTTCCCCCAAAATGAGCTCTGGGCACCCCAAGAACATGGGAACACTCGTCCCAGGAGCTGTGTGCCCCAGCACGGTTCATTCAGTTGATGCTTCTGGGGGAGACGGGGTTTCTTTGCTCTGCCTCCTGCTTTGAGCATGCCCTTGGTTTGAAATCACTCCCCGTTTTCCAGGCACATCCTAAACTGCTAGGCATTGATCGGCACTGGTAACAAGCACCACAAACGCTAGATTTTGACAGCACATCCAAAACTGCTGGATTGAAGTATTATAAAAATACAAAGGGGTGCTTCAGGTTCTCAGCACCCCATGGCCAAGTGGGTTTTGGGCCGACACTAGAAGCAAGTCAGCCAGGGTAGGACCAGGAGAGGCTCCAGCAGGTCTCCTTCGTGTTGCTCATGGAGCTTTTAGGTTGGACATTTCCCATGTGAAATGGGAAACGAAGGGACTGCTCCTTCGAAGCAGTCGAGGAGGCTCCGAGGAGACCTCATTGCAGCTTTCCAGTATCTGAAGGGGCTACAAGGGTGCTGGGAGAGGACTTTTTACAAGAGCCTGTAGTGACAGGACAAGGGGTAACGGGTATAAATTGAAATCAGGGAGGTTTAGATTAGATATCAGGAAGAATTTCTTCCTGGAGAGGGTGGTGAGGCACTGGAACAGGTTGCCCAGAGATGTTGTGGATGCCCCATTCCTGGGAGTGTCCAAGGCCAGGCTGGATGTGGCTTTGAGCAACCTGGTCTAGTGGAAGGTGTCCCTGCCCATGGCAGTGGGGTTGGAACTAGATGATCTTTGAGGTCCCTTCCAACCCAAACCATTCTATGATTCTATGATTCCTGAAAAAAAAAAAATCACACCCAGCACATTTCCCTCTGCCCAAGGAAAGTGTTATGTGGTCAGGAATGAAGGAATCACTGATGGGATCCCATAATATGGGATCCATATGCCCCCAGCTGCTAAGGGAAGCACAAACAGCTGGGAACCCCATGGGCTCATCCTGCAACCTTGCACAGACAGTTTGTTCTCACTACATCTTGCAT